ATTTAAAGAAGATGTAAAGTGAAGACAAAGAATAATTATTTTCCCCGACGTCGGTACAATAATTATACAGAAATATTCAAATGAGTCATTTCAATTTGTGTGTAGTCCAGTCACCTTATTTACATATTTGCAACTAATTACATTCTGAAGATGTTCACACAGTGAAATGAGAATGAGTATACACACGAAACGAGCACATGCACATAAAATTTTAACCGTGCTTTTATAATACTTGGAGTTAGAGAAGTGGAAAAATTCTTATTCTTCGAAAAAGCACACGAGCTTTAAAAATGCATCGCCTGATGCAAATGTGCCGATTTGACAAACTGGTGAGTATTCACTGTAAACCTGTGCAAGGAGTGCCAACTGCACTGAATAAAATTCGAATTGTCTCGTCTTATAACGAACTCAGCTTACGTGGGAGCCAAATTAAAAACCCGACCCCTATTTCATGCTAATTGCCAATCCGGATTTGTTGATTAAAGTGCAAAATCAGCCATCTGTTTAGTGCGACACAAACAATGGTCTCCGTATTTTCACAACAGCAAAGTGAATTCTAATCGGATTTAGTTAATTGCAGTTTATCGCGGAAAGAGAGACGCTGGTCAAACGCAATGGAATTAAAATCGTTTGATTAATTAATTATGTTTGAACGACGAAGTAATACCATTGCTTCAACATGTTGCAGACCCCAGCTTTTATTAAACGAAGCTTTATTCAACAAATGTCATAATTAATTTCGACCAATCTAATTTTTACAGCTTGGCCAACGCCCGAGATAAATAATTCACAATACCGAAATTGGACCAACCATAGAGAAAATTCTTGTAAAAAAAAATTTAATTTGAATATTTAAATATTTATTTTCGCATTGATTAACGAAGCGCTACTGTCGCGAATCCGCAATTAAAAATGAATGCATACCTACACAAAAAGTTACGAGTTTTTTAGCTTCACTCCACAAACTCTCTGTTACAGCTCTAATAAAAGCTTGTAAATAAATGAATTTTCAAAAGTGTTTCGTACGGTAAATTAGAAAAGAGCTTTCTCTCAGGTCACATACGTTTTCTTGCCGCATTTTTAACTAGTAGGTAATTTTTGTTATACCAACTTTCCGAATATTGTGTTTCAACTATTAAAATTGATCGATGAAACAAAATCCATGCGTGATGGTGCGTAGGCGATTTAATTAGCAGTAATAACTAGGTGTAAATTAACTTCCGTGGAACAAAAAACAAGCTAAACTGGAAAACTGAACATCATCAATAATCAGCCACGAAACTAATGATTATATCCATTATTTTTTTAATTGCACTTTAAAGTTAGCGATCTGAAACGAGCTTATTTTTGTAAAATAAATACTACCCATATAGATTCAATTTGGTGCGGTTCAACGCCAGCATTAAAGTCTCTCTTAAATTATTTTCAACACTTAAGTGGCTCGCTATTAAATTTAAAATAATTAAGAGATTCTTTCTTCTTGGAAGAAAAACGCATTAACCTGAATGGACGACTGTGGGTCTTTTGAATGCAGCCATCTTTTTATTTAATTTTATAATATATAAGGGTGACTGAAGAAAATATGATTGGAGATGCTGAAAGACAACTGACACATAAAAGCAATTATGGGAGTTATAAAGTCATAAAATAAGTAGTTAATCGTGACACATATGTGATAGTATTGTTTTTACGATGTTGCAAACTATGTAAATTTTTCATTAGACGTTGGGTGTTAGGAAGATACTGAAATGTGTTTAGTGTTTGGTCAAAATTTACCCAATAATAACAAATAAATTACGTCATATATAATATCCAGAAGATCACTTTTCACAAAAAAGAAAAGAACGTTATTGATTTATAAAGCAACAAAAATCTGACTTTATAAACAATGTGAAGACATTACTCCGGGTGGTCGTTGATAGAAATGGCTTAATAAAAATTTTCTAATTATCAAAATTAATGATGTGTTTAAACGGTAACATGATCTAGTGAAAAAATAAAAATAATGAACATGTACACTAATCATCAAAAACAATAGTACAAAGACCAATTGTAAATAACCATCGGCTTTGTACAATAAAAAAAAAAGATATTAATCGAGCGCAGACGGATCAAGGACTTTACTCCTTTATCGAGACTTTCGCCCAATTCGTTCGATGCCAATATTTTATTAGCTCTTTTCAGACTGTCACTTCTTTTGTTATTTAGTGTACGATCAGCAGAAAGAAACTTGACAACTTTATATGAAAACTTTTCATTCTTTACAAGTATTATAAATATAAAATTAAATGGTGTAAGAATGTCGAGTAAACGAATAAAAAAACAACTCTACATTTAACTAACAAGATGTCTTCTTCTACGAGAAAAATTTACAAGAAAAATTAAATTAATCACATAACCTGCATACTTTGAAAGAAAAATACATCGCAAACACTCTACTAAATTAATCTAACACTTAATTAAAACATATTATAATTATTATTCCAAAACAATTTACAGTCACGACATTTCGTAAAATGTTTACTAAAAATTGTATCATATTTATAAAGCAATAAATTGTAAAAACTGTTATAATCCCAAAATTAGCATACCAAAAAAAACGCTACATGCCACCGTTTTTAACTTGTTTTGCTATGACTTATTTGATCAGAAAAATTTAAAAACTTTACCAACAATAAAATATAAATTTTATAATTTGTCATAATTGTCATAATTGTCATAATTGTCATAATTGTCATAATTAAAAAATATATATACATTTACAAATCCTCAATATTTTACACTCTTTTATGTATCGTGTCAACTGGTTGGAAAGAGGAAAATAGCCTTCAGCCAAACCCTACAAGACGTTCTGCATAAGTACACATCTTGAAAACTGCGCAATATAAATAAAAAATGACACAAAAGCAACGGTAATAAAAATCTCGTTAAAACTTTACGTTTGGTACTCATCCCTCAGGTAGAAACCAGTCTAGCCTCAAAATATATAATATTACCATAAAGCGGCATCTTTTGTAATATATTTTCATGAAGACAAGAGCGAAAGTGGTGACTTTATGGCTATGACATTAAAAAAATATTAGATGCAAACTTTAGGTAGGTATGTTGTTGGTGAATGAATTAATAGCAAATTATTCTCGTATTAAAAAAGAATAAAATAATTAATAATATTAATGATCCAAATTCTTCATTCTGACTCAACAAATAAATAAAATACTAGAATTTTAAATCAGAGCAGGTAGCTCAGAAACAGTAGTAATGTTCAGATAATTTACCCAGCCAAAGGCCGAAAAGTAGTAAAAACATTTTAAACGCGTCCTTACTAAGAAAAAAACTGCTAAATCCAACTTAGGTTAAAACTTGATTTATAGTAAGCATATCGGTAAAGACATAACATATTTTATTCATTCAACTTTATTTTTAAAAAATTTTAAGAAATGAAACCCAATTTTAAAAAAAATAAGAAAATAAAATTTTATAAAACACTCTAAAGATTAATTTAGAAGAATTTCTTGTAAAGAAACAAACAAAAACAACCTTCAAAATTCATATGTAGGTACAGTGATGGACAGTGAATTTCGTCCACCCAATTTCCGTGACAGATTAAAAGTGTAAATTAGTCTTTAGGTTTTCCTAACCTTGTTTCAGAATTTTGATTAACGTTTGTCATATTGACAGAATGCTCGATGCTTCTTGCTACTTTTTACCTTTGTCCTTTGAAATGGTACTAGTGGTAGTCCTTGGTGTGCCCAAAAGTATAGAGACACGTCTTTGAGACATACCTTCTTGTACCAGAATTTTTATTTTATTATGTTCGAATTTGATTAAATTTGACAATACATATTTGAATGTCCAGTTATCATGACAATAAAGCACAGACTACAGTGAATTTTTGTGAATTCACAGAAATTGGGTGGACAAAATTCACTGTCCATCACTGTATGTACAGAAAAACAAAACAAAATCTTTAAATTAAAAATTGATTGTTGTGTAAAAATTAGTTTTTAATAAAAAGTTGGAATATACTTACAGTGAGCGGCAAAATTATGGAATAATCTTATTAAAATTGAAAATATTTAGTTTTGGCAAAATGCCCTAACAGGTCAATTTTCTTTTTAAAAAATACACAATTTGGTTTTTGTAATGATCTCATCGACATTTTTTTAATGAAAACCCCTAATTTTTCAGCCCATTTGGTAGTTCTTTCAATTGTCGAAATGGCAACACCAAAATATTAAATATTACATAAAGTTTTCGGAAAAAAATCATATAAAAAGTGAAATAATATGAACAAAAAACAAACATACAATTTTAAATCAAGTTGACAATATTGTATTTTTTAAAAAGAAAATTGACCTGTTCGAGCATTTTTGTCAAAACAAAATATTTTCATTTTTACTAAATAAGATTATTCCATAATTTTCCCGCTTACTATATTGACTCACGCTGAACAATATGTATCTACAAAAGAGAATATGATATTGTATTTATACTATGTCGACAATCGTTTGTTATGCAGAAGGAATGATTAATAATTGTTATCATTACATATCGCTAATTCTGGTACATACATAGATTTTACTTAAAATAATTTAAGAATTTATTTAATTTATTTATTTACTACCCACTTCACTATGATGCCCATTATAATTAATATTTAAAAAAATTCTATTTAATTCTAATAGTATATTTAATTTTATTTAAGTATTACGGGCACATACATATTTTGCATAAAATTAGAATTCAAAAATAAATTTTTAACCTTGTTGAAAAGTACTCCACTTTTACTTTTCATGTGATATATCATGATTTCCAGAGAACCTATCAAATCATGAAATTTTAATTAGCGTCGTTTCGCTCAACAACCGAAAAATCAATTTTAAATCATTACTTATTCTTTTCCCACTCCCATTTTTTTTGTTTTTTCTTTTATTTTTCAGAAACGCTCATTAATTTTTTTTCGTCAATATAATTAGAGTATAAAAGTGAAAAGTGCTCACATGGGCAAGAACGCCTCGGTCCCACCGCAGCACAAGCCACAAACGCACCCCGAAACCGTGAGGGTCCAACGTCACGCACTGAAAAACCTGAAAACTTTCGAGCTTTGCGAGCACACGTCGCCGACGTTTCGGATGTTTCGCGGCGGGTATCGCGATGCTCTCGTCACCGGAGCCAAGAAACGAATGACGATAGTCGGGAGTACTTGCTTGCGGCACTGCTCGTAGCGTATCCGTATCGACCGCATCAACCCCGTCGTATTGTTGCATTTACATAGTGGGCCTAGTTGGCACTTCTTTTTGATTTGCAATTGTTTCGAAGGACAACGCCACCGCCCGTCGCCCCGATCATCTTTCCGGTTTTGTTTTTCCGCGAAATGCTAATTTCGAGGCGCCCGGAGTTGCTAACAATGCTGCGGTTTGCATATAGAGGGAATGTTCCAGAAGGGAAAGCGGAATTGGGATGGTGCAAGATGTTGATGATTAATGTATTGTTTCTCGGTGCGAATTAAAAAGATACATGAAGAAGAATACAATTAACGCATAACAAATACGTTAAGAATAAAATTTAACAACAATAAGAAGAGAAACTGTATAAACTAAGGTACCAGATGAATCAAAATTGCGTGGCATAATTTTAAACACAAATGCATTGTCTTGTAAAAATTACACATTTTTAATGACAGTCGGAGTCTTGTAGTTTTTGAGTCATAACTTTTTTTATAAACAATTTCAAAAATATGTAATCTATAATTATTCCAGTTATGTATCGTCATTTGTATTTATATTAGAAAGTTAAATTGATTTTTTTCTTAACAGTACCTATAGCACAAACATATTTTTCTTTTATCAGAAAGCCCTAGATATCTCATTTATGGAGAAATAATACATTTGCGTATAACAACGTTTCTTCACAGCCCTTGAAAAAAAAATCTTATTATATGTAATGTTGTCAACACCTGCAATTTATTAAAGAAAATATTTTTTCTGTAAAGATTACCTACTGGAAACATTTATCGAATGTAAATTACGAATAAAATAAAAAACAGGTACAAGTAATTTCTACGTTAAAAATAAAATATTTATGAAATATACTCTTAGATATCTTTAGCGAACTTCTCCGATACATCGAAGTCCTCTGTGCTCAATAATACTTTTAGAAATGTTTCAATGAAACTTATTTTAAAGTTCATAATTCAGTCTACAAACGATTTAGTGTTTTCCAATTCGCTACTGGTGCTGTTAATATAAGTAACTAACGAAGTGTACCAATTGATCTTATTGTAGTTTTAAAGTAACGCAAATTATATATTATTATATTATTATTATTATATTATATTATATTAGTACTTATACAAGGTGCGCCACATCTCGCGCCCCAAATAAAAATGCCATATAAGGTAAGATACCAGAAACATGGAAAAAATGTAAAAAAAAATTATCTATGAAAATTTCGAAGTTGTGAGATTAAAGTTTGCACTTTGACTCTATTTAAAATAATTTTCCAAGTTTTTTTGCTATAGTCTATTAAAAAAGGTAACAAGGAAACTGTATCCTAAATTGTAACTCTGTTCAATGTTATTTGTGGCTTTTATTGACAAAATTTTTGTCCTTTTACTATATAATTGTAAAAAAACATATACAAGATCATCAGTATCATTAAATAGATATAAAAAAATGTCAAATGTCAAAAAATAAATGTCAAAATTTTTTGACAGATCGGTTACTTGAAAATTTTCTCTGGGGCGCGAGTTCTGGCGCTCTCTGTATGTCGTGCCACAGCCATCGCCACTGCTGTCACTTTTCATGATTTTTTGTATGAAAGAATAGAGCTTCTTGATTCAAAATTTGTCAGTGGGGTTCAGTTGTAACACAGATTCTTCTTTTACACAGAAATCAAATGTTTCTGACCTATTTCACCTCAAAAACGCAGTTGCGACGTTGCCAGGGTGGCGATGGCTATGGCACGAGATATGTGTACATATTTTAAAAATATAAATAATCGATAATAATTGTACTATTTAAGTTCTCTAAATAAATAAAAAAATAATGAAATGCATATACTGTAAGGAAAAATGATAATAATTAGAGAATCGATCTTTGTTTTAGTTGCGTGTTTTACTATAATAGGTAAGCAAATCTTGTTAGCAGGAGATTAGCACAATATTTAAACAAACAGTTACAAATAAAATTGTGGACACTTGCATAAAAAGCGTCACTCGTTTTGCTGTAAATGAATAAAATTGTGACTTATTAATTAATAATGTACACTGTTTATCACAAAATCTGGTTTTGATATTTTAAAATATATTCTAGTTAAAACACATAACAAGATTAATTATTTTATTGCGTTTGTAACGGGAAAATAAATGTTTACACTTTGTAGTGCCTATTATACAACAAGTCATTGATAGAGTATATTGTTTAAACATGCGTAGTTTATTTAACCTTTAAGTAACTTATCATGCAAAATAATGCGTAATTTCATTCAAAAATTTTATGTAAAGTAGAACACTTTCGTAAGATGATAATAAATCAATTTTATCAATAAACCAACTTGTTATTAATATAAGAATTCTAATTACACACTATTAATACAGTGTTATCTACGACACTATTAAACGTGATTTTTTCAAAAAATAATCACACCTTTACTAAGATTTGTAAGAATTGCCAAATCAGGGCCACTTTAAATCGCTAGATGTACTTCCTGTGAAGTATGCACTTTCCTGAAAGGTTACAGTACGCGACACGCTTCATGTATTATGCAGATATGAACTCCTTTAAAACTTTCCAAGTTCTGCTCAATAGAGCCATCAGGAATCTTGCGTTAGTTTTCACCTTACTGTTGTTTATTTATTTGCTAAAATTTAAAAATTTAAAGTGCTTGCATCAAACATAGACACAAGCTTTTAAATAAGTTATTTCAAATATAAAGCTCCAGCTTAATTTTGTTTTAGAGGAAATAAGCAATAACCATTTCCTACCGGCGATATCTATACAGAAAGGTGGCAGTTTCCTGGATGCCCATGTTTATTTAATACAGCTGCATGTGCATCTGCATTGAAATCTTATAAATTCATAATTTCTCGTAGATTAATGGTATGTTATCTCTCTTACACACTGTGCTGATATTGTAATTGGTATTATCACAAGTTGTTGTGTTATCGTAAATAAATCTACCAAACCATTCAAGTTCCATCTTCCACTGCGCCAGTTTGAGGAATTTATAACTTAGGACGCGTGCACTGGGTATAGAGGCCGCTTTGTTGCTTTGCGACAAGATTAAGGATTAAAATTAAACTCATATTCATAGAAATTACTTTATTACAGATTCACTCTGATCTAAGATTAAAGCAAATCCAGCAACCAGCAATTACAAATGCTCCATTCACTGTCAGGGTCAAGTCTTCATTCTTATCTTAATGGTGAATACTTCTAAAAAATATACAATTTTACAGGGTGTTCCGTTTTTATTGTTACAAACTTAAACAGGTGATAGAATATTCAATTTTAAGACAAAAGTTTCCTATGAACATGTATCAAAAATGTTACGTAAGCGAGCTACACCCCCTGAAAGAGATGCGTTTTTAATGGGGTTTTCCCACTATTGCAGAATAGATAAAATTACAAAAGTTGGTACAGCTGATTACTTTTAAACACCTGAATGTATTTAAAGATCAGTTGTCGAAATTTTTAATCACAGGTTTCTTAAACGGTGAAACAAATTTATGGTGTTATTCTGTAAAAAAATACTTGCTATAGCGCTATAACTCTTTAAGCTATCGACTATAAGTAAAAATCGAATTCTCTAAGGAAATATTTCTCTATACCTAAAAATCTATAAGCTTAAAGTCTCTATAAAGTTATGGCGAGAAATTTGCTGACCGGAAGGACTTACAGTCTCTATAACGATTTATTGTCATAGTAACAATGTCCCTCCTCAATAATTTATTATAAGTACTTCTCTCCGTATTTCGCCAGTGATACTAATTTTTGTAATTATTGGTATCGTGTAAAGTTAATAATAGGTACTTACATAGTTCAGTGACGGATCGTAACAATATTGCACTAATTGCATTATATTTATTGTTACATGAAGAAGAAAGAAGGTAATGTTGTGGACAAAAATGAACTTCTTACTACAAAAACTTTAATAAAAAAAGTGTCTATTTAGAAAAAAGTTATTTTGCAAAAAATACAAGCAGGTTTTATGAAAATCGGCAATAAATTTTTTTCAAAAACGGTGCAACCAATCCTTCTAATTTAATTGCGTTCTTTCCCTTTGATGTTTATATATTATTCTCATTAATTTCTTACTAAAAAATAGAGAATGTTTAGCAAACCTACATTACAAATTGTGTCTAAATTTTAGCGGTGGTCTTTTTCTGACTTCTGCTTGCACACTTTTCGTCTTCAAATTTCCAAAAAACAGTTGGCGATACCCAATTTGTCTCCGTTTTTGAGTTTTCGTTTCAAAATTTTTTAGGCTATGCTCTAAAAATTTGCTACAGTCTATAATTTGGAATATTCCATAGCTAATAGAGCTCTGTATATAAATTCAAAATTGGTATACTCTAAGCGTCTATGTAAACATTCGAGTTACAGCTCTGTAATCACCCTAAAGTCTGTTATTTTATTAAATTAAAATGTCAAACAGTCCCTCATAAATTCATTCATGGTAATTTTAGTAAAGGAAGTTGGCAGTTCCAGTTTTTTATTTAATTAAAAAATGTCATTAAACGTTAGCAAAAAAATCATCTAAGAAAATTTAGAAATAAAAACACCAAAACTGGGACAAATTGGGTAACGCAAACAGTTTTTGGAAATTTGAAGAGGAAAAGTGTGCAAGCAGAAGTCAGAAAAATATCACCGCTAAAATTTAGACGCAATTTATAATGCAGGTTTGCTAAACATTCTCTAATTTTTAGTAAGAAATTGATGAGAATACAACATAAACATCAAAGAGAAAGAACGCAATTAAATAAGTAGCTCTGGTTGCACTGTGTTTGAAGAACGAGTTGAAAAGAGAATTTATAAAATGCATCAACTTTGAGCTCATTTCAATAAATTACACAAAATTTATTACCGATTTACATAAAACTTGCTTGTATCTTATGCAAAATGACTATTTTTCTTCTTCATTTAATAATAAAT